TGCCCATATTTTTGCAAAAATTGCATCTACATTCATACATCATACTAAGTTTAATTGCAGTTGATAGCATTTTTCTAGTAGCACAGTGGTTGTTTTATTTTACTATGAGGTGTTTTTTCTTTGTCTCTCTGGGCTGTGTCTGCTTTGATGCCCTATGAAGCCACTAAAAAAGCTGTGAATTATTTTGGGATCACCAGGAGTTCACATTAAATGATAAACCTCAATGCAAAAAGGATTTAACAAATGCAAATCTGTAGTCATTGAATTTTGACTGTTAAGTAATTCCTGAGGTTTCATGGACATCCATATTATATTTACTCAGTTTAGAGGTAAGAGGTACACACAGAAATTTACTGTTTCAAAGAGAAAAAAATGACAAATTGCCTTGGCTAGGCTGAAGCATCCATGCAAGTATCTAAATGCAATTTATCTTCATTGCAAAGACTCAGCATTGAGACATGAGTTCTCTGGTGCTGATCATACTAGAAGTTAATCCAGCTCCATTTTCACATATTGATGATAATGATACTAAATTATATTTTATAATAAGAATAATTATATTGTATTTGTACAAATTTTATTTAACACATTAAAATTATAATCTAATCTTATTAGCAAATCATCATCTTTGGTCTATCTTTGAAGGCAGAAAATGGAATAAAAGCTAAAAGGTGGGAAATTCACCTGTCCAAAGGTAAATGTGTTGCCTTTTCAGAGAGAGGCCCTTTGGCTGCCTTTAGGCAGGACAGGGGTGGGTGCTATGGGAGTGATTGCTCTTAATCTAGAGCAGCCCAAACAAACCTATTTTGCCACTTCTTGCACTCCTAAATTTACACAGGGACACCACCTGATATTTTATTTACTCAGTAAATTTGAGCAGATATCAAACATTAGTCTTTCCAAGAGGACAGAAAAGCCACAGTTTTGTCAAATATGACTGAAAATGGGAAATTATGAGGGAAACAGCTGCTCTGCCTGATGTCTGTAAGTGCTGCACAGGATCCATGAGCACATTTAGGGGGAAAGGGAAAAGCAGTGTTTGCTAAATTGATTTATTTCTGTTAGCTATGAAATATGAAACGTCCCAGCAGCTATTCTCAGGTTATTTCTTCTAACAGGGTGATGAGAGTTGAAACTCCCCTGTGGTCCTGAACCAAACCCATCACTTTCATCCAGGAGCCCCTGAGGGGATGTGGGGATGTTTCAAACCCCTTCTACAGCTGCTGAAGGGGAAGTTTAAATAACCTGTGTGCTTCCTCGGCACTAAATCCTCCTGCTCCTGAAATGCTTGCCAACAAAGTGAAGTGGATTTTTCTTGAAGTTAATGTCACTTTAAGGATTCATGTAAATCCTTCATGGGTTTTGCTTTCATTTTCAGTATGACTGAATTTTATGGTATAATCATATCAACTCTTCCACTTTAAATTCGGTCTTGCACCAAGGGATGCTTTCTATCATTACGTCTAGACTTAGTAAAAATAAGGCTTTACCCTCCAAGCTAAAAACCAGCTGAAACACTTTACAAACTCTGTTTTCCTTTTCAAAGTATTTAGTTTCTTAGACAAAAAGCAAATATATCACTCTTCTAGAGAGGAGTTTAATTTCCTTCTTATGTACATTACCTCAGGAATGATTAAACTTCAGGCTTCATTTGCAACATGCAATTTTTGCTTCACCCAGCAGCTCCTGGCAGGTTGTTTTTGGGATTAAGTGGCACAGTGATGGCAGCACTGTCCATCCATGAGGATGCCCCTGACACACCCCAAGGGGTGTGAGGAAGAAATGCTCTTCTTTGCCTTCCTCAGGAGGCTGTGGCAGGAAAGAGGGAGCGCAGAGCCACCCTCTTTGGAAGAGCAAACAAGACATCAGCTGTTCCCTGAGGTCTCCCTGGGAAACGCACAGCTCATAGGAGCTCTGGATCTTGTGGTTCCTCTCCATGAATGTTGCCTAAAAATAGAGCTGAAATGTGACTATTCAAGATACAGCCTTGTGGTAAACAAGGAAATTGAGTGCATAGCCACCAAAATTTTGCTTGTTTTCCTATTGTGGCCTGTAAACTGTTAAAATCTATTGATTGTAGCTTTTCATTTTAGGGTCAATTGCCAATAAGCTTAAGAAAATCTTCTGTTGTTCCACTAGGCCAACTTGGTGCAGATCTCAGGGGCTTCTTGCCTGTTTCCAAGCTTTTTTTCCAGTAGGCACTTTGATTTAGTTAGCTTACAATGTAAATGTTATTTGTAAATATATGCCAAGTAGTATAGACATTTACATTATGATTGCCTGAAACTGTCCATTATAACTTAATTTTCAGTTGCCTGTTGCTTGGGTAGACATTTTCCAGAATTTACATCAGATTGAAAGTAGAAGCCATCCTCATGTGCATGCTGGACTCGTTCAGAGCCACAGGGAACATCACACACCGGCCTTGCCACACTGAACTGAGCCTCTCAGGGAAGACACAGACAACATTGATGATACTTTCCCAGGCTTGTCCTTTGTCAAGGACAGCCATGATTCTGAAACTGCCAAAGTCTCGAGCATCCTGAAGGATCCTTTAGTGCAGGTGGCATAACCTGGTGTGTTTCCATGCATGCCCATAGCTTTGTTTCTGTATCTCAGGCTTTCCCAAGACATCTTGGAGAAGGGCTGCTTGGGAGGGACTGCTGCTCAAGGCAGATTCTGGAGGGTCTGACATTAAGGACAATCCCTCCTTTCCCAGCTTCCTCTGGAGGGGCACAGCTCTGTCTTTCTCAGGATGCAGGAGTGGGAGGTGGGGTGAGACAAGGATGTGTGAGACAGCTGAACTCAGCTACCAAAAAAGCTGCTGCCCTCCCTTGTTTAGAGATGTACACAGGCTGAACTTGCAAACTTCCCTTTAATGATGACTCCACATCCACTGTAAGCTGCCTTCCCACTTACCTATTATATACTGTGGAAATAGAATAAGCTCAAATGCAGCTGAAACTTCTTCAGCACCCTTTACATCTGCTGTACACTCCCCCTTAGGCTCTACTTCTTGGGAGCTGGGATGTTTTATTTTATTTTGTGTGGTCTTTAACCCCACAACTCACCTGGGCTCTGCCAAGCTCATGCAGGCAGATGGTCAGGAGGGCATGCAGAGATTCTCAAGAGTGCATGGAACAAAGGCTCCAGAAACCTCATTATTTATCACACCACTACAGTTTTTCACCATTATTGTGCCAGAAATGGCACCTCTGACTATTGACAGGACAAACTTTCAGCACTGGTAGAGGAGTAAGGATGTTGGGCAGCAATACTGCAAGGTAGAAGCCATAAACTGGGCTGCTTTCCTTCTCTAATACCAAAGCATCAAAGACAGCCCAGAAAAGACAGAAAAAGAACAAAACCAAGAGCATGGAGACTTGAGCAATGAGGATTCAGCAATGTCTATGTTAAAGGCTTGTAAAAGGTCCTGTAAGCCTTTAGTGACCAACTTACACAAGTCTTTCAGGGGGCCTGCATCCCATGTCTTGCTGTCCTGCCTCCTCTCAGCATGCCTGACAGGTTTCCCATCTCTGGTTTCCTCACCACCTAGTTCCTTTCCTAAAGAAGGAGTTAATTTCATAAATTCTTCCATCATGCTCTTGGCTTCATCTGGTTTCTCCCACATTCTTGCTGTATCTCCTTCCAGCTTGGGAAGATGATGCCTGCACATTTGTCATGCAGCAGGAATGTCATCCAGTCCATGGCTGTAGCCAGGAGGGCAAACTTTGTGGGCTTTTTCCCCCCCTGCAACTGACTGACTGACCCTTCCTGTCACCAATTTATCGTGCTTTCATCTAGCTCTGAAAAATCCTGTTAGAGTGTTACAATAGGTCACCACACCAGTCTGAGATGCCTCTTTTCTTCCTTTCAGAATTTTCATGGGTATTTATCTGGAGTGTCTCACCTGGAAAAGGATCAAGGAACATAACCTTGAAATAAAGCCCTGCTAGCTACCACCCAAAACTTAATATGGACAACCAGCTTTATGTTATATTTAAAAAAAAAACCATGGTGCTGAATGCTGTAATGTTTACAGATGTATTTTTATTAAATTTACACCTACAGTTTTTTGTGCAATCTCACAAGTGACAAACACAGGCCTACTAAGTCAGCTGAAAACTGCACAGAGGACCCAGGCTGTGATGGAGAGGATCTTGTTGTTCTTGCTGTTGTTAAGGGTGGCATGAACAAGGGGAAGCAATGAATGCATTGTCTTTCATTGCTGGATAAGAGCTCTGAAGGAGCCCAGGCATGCCCAGTCCATCAAAAGACAAAAACAAGAGGACTGCATTTAATGTTCTCTCCAGCATGCAAAAGAGGAACAGAGAGTATAAGAAGATGTCACAGGGAAGGCAGAAGTAAACACAGAGACAGCTGGAGAGCTCCTGGAACAGGGGAAGAGCAGGAAGGCGTGAGGCTGGGAATTGACTGAATCCTCTGTGCAGTCACTCTGGTCACAGTTTCTCCTTTCTCCCTGGAATGGACAAGCAGGAAACTGGGTTATGCTCCCTCAGCTTCTGGCTGCACAAACACATGCCCAGGGAGAGACTGCAGCCAGACCAGGCGGAGAACATATGGGATGGCACAATGTGAATAAACGGAAATTTTGCCCGGTTCAAACTGTCAGGACAGAAGACAAGGTAGGAGCATACAGTAGGGTTAGATGTACTCCTGACTCTATGCAATACATATACTTTAAATGCCTCAGTCCTAAAAGCTCAGCATTCTGAAAGCAGGCTGTCCCTTGTCCTCTCAAACAGGCACATCCTTCCAGTACCATTCCTCTCTTGGCACAGGGGGACAGAAGAACATCAGAAACTAAAGCTCCAGGGCAGCTGGAGTGAAGAAAGGGAACCCAAAGAGAGAAGAAGCATCTCCCAGTGAACCACATGGAAGAGTAGAGGCAGAAGGATGCAAGGCAAGGGGCAAGGGGGAGAATGGGAGATAAAGTTATGATGAATGTTATGGGAGAGGTAATTGTGTCATTGAAGGTCAGAGAAGAAATGGGCAAGTGCAAAGAGAAGCCAGCAGCGCTGGAGGAAGAGGAGGATATGCAGGAAGAATTGGGCAATGAGATCTCCTTGGAAAGATGAATGGTGTTGGGGCAGTGGCTTTCACAGCACCCTGGGAGGGATTTACAGCTCCATGACCTGCACTCACACCTGGCGGCTGATGCTGCCTTGGAGGTACAAACCCACATGTCCCAGGTTGTGACTGTTTCCTCTGGGCAACAAAGAAGCTCAGAAAGTGTTGCTGCTCATGCTGAGGGGTTTGGCACTGGCAGGAGCTGTTGTCATGTGCATTTACAAAGGTCCCCACCTCCAGCAATACCCGAGCACACCAGGAGCTCAACAGAGCTGAGGCAGCCAGGTGCACAGCTGCCTACAGCGTGTGATGTTCACTGCTAACAATTTTGTAGCTCATTTTAGAACAGCCCCTGCCCGTTCTGTGTACTGAGGGGAAAGCTCCCAGCACACCCATTTAATTCACTTTCATAACAGGAGATTATAACTTCCAAATATTTGTCAAGAATTCTCAAGAGCCACGCCAGAAATTATTTGTACGTCAGAGGCACTTATAAAGTGCAGGAGGATGCCTGGAGAAGCTGAGGTTTAGATTGCAAATACTGTGGTATCATGACAGCTTTTCACTGAGAGTTGCAGCACGTGCATTTGCACTTCTATTATAAAACCTTATTTAGCTGCTGAAGGGGCTAAAGCCATTCTTAGGTTCTCTAAAAGATCTTTTTAATTCCTAGCTCTCCCTGTGGGAGGCTGGAGGCCAGCTATTCTTTCCACTCGAAGAGTAGGTACCTACAATTCTTGACAAGCAAAGTTCTTTGTAGGCAGAGAAAAGTAGGCTAAATGCAAAAAATGCCTGTGAGGAGTTTTTCAGCACATGCAGAAACTGCGAATTGTTGGTTCTTATCCTAACTTGTCACCCCATTTCTAACATATGCTAAAGATGGTTATTCTTGAAGAAAAGATCTTTATCATAAGAAAAAAACCAAAACAAAATCATATTTATATTTCTCATAACAGAGTGTAAATAAAACTATAAAACTATTCAGCAAAGGCCATTTTAAAATGTTTTTTGAATGTGTTTAAGAGCTCACTTAAGACAATTTAAAATATTCACTCATTTATGTGTCACTGGATGAAAAGTAACCCCTCTAGAACAAGTTTATAACAATCTTCTCCCAGTTTTGTGTCAATGGTGTTCTCAGGTATATCCTGGACGTGGCTGGTACATTTGATGGGCAGCATGGTCCTGATGCAGAACCCAAACCTTTATCCTCCAGATTATACCCAGGAAGTCACATCTGACAGATCAAAGCAGCTGAACTCCTAAACAACCAGGGACTTAGCTCAGCCATCATTGCAGTGCCAAAAACTTCTGAGAAGACCAGCTTCTAAACAGAATAAAAATATTCAATAAGGCATCAGAAAAATACCATTCTATACCTTTAATACAAACACTATTATATTTTCAAATATGTCTGATTTTGTTTTTGTTGGCAGTTTTTTTCCTCAGTGCCTAATTTTATCTCAGGAGATTTAGTTGCCTTAATCAATATTTATTGCAAAGTTCAGTAAAACCACCAAATACAACATGTTATAGAATCACAGCATCTTAATATTGTATTTTAAAAGACATAAATTCTAAGAACTGGGATGTATTAAATAAAACCCTGGAATTATCTACTCTAATTTTTGTGCACTAGATAAAGTTTATTTCCATAAATGAATACCTGTAAAGCAAGACAGTATTTTTACCATCCCTTTAAATCATGTTAGATTAACACATTAGGAATCATTCACCAAGTGTCAGCTAATAATATGGGTTTAGATTACAATAAAAAGAGGATTAATAGCACCAACATTATGCACATGATATATTCCTTATGCCACCAGCTCTCCACTACCTAGGGCAGCCTGAGCCTGACACCAGGGACAGGAAAACCCAGTGGCAGAACTATTGCAGACTCAAGAGTCACTCTGGCATCCCTGTAGCACATTCCAGTTTTTGCAAATGCTCATGAGTTGAGCTGGCTCCTCACAGATAAGATATGAAAATAGTGACACAGTCTACTCATGGCTGAATAATCTTCCCACAGGCTTTGGGGACTGAATGATCTTAGCAGTCAGACTCTCAGAAACTCAATTTTTTAGGTCTTAGACAATGTTCTTTATACCATATCCTCCTTGTCAACAGAGAAGAAAGAAATGAACCCTTTCTTTTCTAGTACTTTTTCTTTATTTAGCAGCTTTTCCCAAGACAACATTTTAAACTGGTCTTTAAGGATGAGAAACACTTTCATGAATGAAACAGCCTTCCTAGAGGCAATTCATGAATCCAGAGTGATTTTTTTAAAGAATTGTAACTATTATTTGGGTTTGATTTCATGATCTGTTTGTTGCACATTTGACCATTTGAATCTTGTTTAAACCGGAATGCACTTCTAACACCGCATAAAATATTAAACATTTTCATAATACTACTCCCCTTTCCAAGCCAGATCCCATCTGTTAAGACAACTTCTTAGATCTTTCAAATGTTCATCCACTTTCAAACCAAGATTCTCAGAGTCCTGCTCCAGCATATAGAAGCATGCTTTTTTTGTTTGTTTGTTTGTTTGTTTATTCTTCAGTTCCTTCCTAGTACCCAACATTCTGAGCTTTTATGTTTTAAGAGAGGCAATTTTGTCATTGCAAGTCCATCACACTATGCTTTTTTAATGCTTTTGTTAATGAAAAGGCAAAACCTAGTACAGTTCCTTTCATGATCTTGAAATGAATTTTCCAGGATAAAGAAAAATGAAACAAGCTTTCTTCTTGGTGGCATTAGAGACATTTACCCTTGGCACTTGTTACCTATTATTTGTTACCTGCATTATCTCATTTCTTATTTGGAAGGTGAACTTTTTTTGGTTACATATTGTTCTCATAATTTTTACCACTGACAAAAAGTGAATCTGGTGGTTTTAAGCAAACTCCTCTGTTTTACTTTCACTCTCAAGTAGAAATAGTTCTTTAAAATAATAAGTTTTATTTTAAGGAGACACTCAGTGTGAGGAGTTCCAGTTGGTGATACACTTCTGACTGTTGCATGCCTTGCCTTCTAATCTATGCAGAAAATCATTAAGTTCTAACACTCCACAGAGGAGGAGTTTTTACGTGGAAAGATGGACAGAGCTGTCCATCCTGGCCTTCAAACCATTCTTCAGTCCCACCAAGAGACAGAAGAAAAGTCACAGTCTAAAGTAAGCCAGTCACATCCAGACTGCGCCCAGTCAAACAATGTGAAACTCAGCAACTCCTGCCCAACACCACTGCAGAGGAAATACCAACTGCAGCAGAACAATCTTGGATCCCATCCCTGAGTGTCCAAGAATGTGATATGTTTCCTGCAAGAAAGTCAAGTAAATAACCATTGTGACTCAGGAAGAATTCACACAAAATGCCCATAGGGGAAGAAATACCTACTTGGCAATCCATGGTTGTTTCTCAGAAGGGTCATTTCATCCTAATCCTTCAGTCTGGACCCTCAGGGGAAACCTGCTGAGGATGAGCCTGGTAACTATGGACTCATTTATAACTCTGAACAATTCCAGGAATAAGAAGCTTTTCAGAGATATATTTTTGACGTTTTATAAACTCTCTTGCCCACTGCTAGCCTCTCCATGCTGTACAGGTTATAGAGTATAAGTGTCTCTATTTTTTTGCCCCAGGAGGGAGCAAACCTGAATTTTCTCCATATGTCATGCATCTGCAGTGAGGAGCTCCATTCTTCACAGGGACCCATCACCTGCACTATTAAGCACTATAACTAACCCAAATAATCAAATTGGTACATACCCAGCTAAGCTCTGAGCCATCATCCTCCTCCATTCATCTTTCTCTTAGAGGCTCAAAGAATCATGGAAAAGTTTGTGTTGGAAGGGATCCTGAAAAATCATCTAGTCCAACCCCCAGATCTTTGAAATCTGTTGCTTTTATTTCAGAACAATGGCTTTGTGTGTCTGAGATCTTTCCTGAACTCTTCAACTATGACAGTTGGCACTTTAGAAGATTATTTCCTCTCTCTACAAGCTGCAGCAAAATAACCCACACTACCATTATCTGATGTTCCACAATTGATATATCTGTGCCTTGTTAGGGTGCTAGAAAAGCCATACTTTACAGTTATTTCTTAGTTTTTAATTAAGGAGGCACAATATGTCCATCATTTAACAACACACTGCATACACTCATATGACAGGGAGGGAATGAAGACCGTGTGGTTTTTTTCACATTCATTCCTATATGAACAGCTGTGTAGTTGTACCACTGCATTAAACACTTCTATATATTTATTTAATACTTCTAATCAAATTGACACTGATAGTTCCTATTTTGATTACATTAGGATGGAATTTTAACTGTAATTTGTCTGTGTTGAATACATAACCCATTTCTGCCGTACAAAATAACACAATTTACAGATTATTTCATCTTGCAGTGTTAGGGATCTCTATGAAGCTGAAATTCTCTGCATACATGGAAGGAACAGCAAGCCAAAGCTAATTAGTGCAGTGAGAATCTGGGAGAAGTTGCTTCCTGTCTTTGAAATTTTCCACATCTTGGGTGAGGTGATCAGGCAGTGGGTGCTTTGTGACAAGCTGCAAGGCTGATTATACACTTTCATTTTCTATGTGTTTTAAATTATATTTCCACACTAATACACAGTTGTTTCCTAAGTGAATATGTGGTGTTTACTTAGGCAAGAAAAATACTCTTTTTTTGTGTGTGTACAAGACAGTTGGCTTTAAAGTTTTGCATTCATACAAACTGAGTAATGCACTTAATGGTAAGTAATTTTTTCCCCCTTTACTCCCCAGTAGGTTTGAGTGAGAGAAACTTCCTTAAGAAATGTGTCAGAAGAGAGGAAAATATGCTGGTGTATTACAGCTATGTGGGAAACCGTTATGTAGGTAATTGTAATATTTATTGAGCTTCAGATTTTATATAAGCTACAACTTTTTGCTTGTATTTTGCTATCATCAGATAAAGAAATCAAGGATTTAGCAAGAATAACTCTGCTTTCTAGCATGTTCAAAATTCAGCATGTCATGTCCTGGTGTATGAAATTGGAGATATTCCAAACAATATTCATTGAAAACCAGCAACTTTTTCTTACTTTACATTTTTGTATCCAGCTAATATGAATGTAAATACTATTAATCAGAAATTTAGGTGGTTTTTCATGAACACAAGACAGGGAAATGAGGAAGGCAACAATGTCTTTCTTCTTGTTTCTCTGCTTCCATTGCTGTCTCTGTATAATATGAAGTCCATAAATGTTCTCCAAGTTAACTTCAATAGTGTCACAATAACAATCTTCAATTCCTCATCTCTCTTTTTGGTCTTTCACTATGAGATTAAATAGTTAGGAAACAATATTCCTTCCAGAAAATAAAGAAACAGAGTTTGAGGAAACCCTTTTCCAGGGGGTTTTAAAGTAATCAGGTACTTATCCCAAGTAGTAAGATACACTGACATGACTTAAAATACTTGATACTAAATTTTGCCATTGAGGGCATCTGCATGACTTTGAAGGACGACCTTTGCACACCATTAAAGGTATGCAAAACCCGATCAGCCACACATAGAAGTTGAAAAAAACCCCAGGTATGATCTTGATGAATTCTTCACATGTATGAGATGGAGCCAATCTGTAATTTATTTGTTCTTGCAAGCACCATCAGCATCTAAATTCAGCATTCTTAGGGCAACTCCAAGATTCTACACTTGAAAAATGTGTGCAATGTGATAACCCCTGTGTTCCCAGAGTCCACGTGAAAATTTTAAAGCAATTCTTTGAAGAATAAATTTATGAGTGGCTCCCAAGAACAATTTGAACAAAAAAATTTCTATCTACACATGAAGCAATGGTTGTCTTGTAATTCCTCCTTGTACTCCCTGATAAAATGAATTAAGCCTTTCAAGGAGGGAAATGAACAATAGTGAAGTCAAGCAGTGAGGATTTTCATGTGCAGGACAGACACTCACTTAGAAGATCAGCCAGAAGAACAGCTGACCAAAGCTGGAATCATACAAATGCCCACGAACACTAAGCAGAGGTCTAACAGCTGTTTGCTATTAGAATGAGGGTTTTCAAGTACTGTGTAGGTAATTCTTGGACAGTGTAGCCCATTGTTTAGGATAATTTAAAGAAACCATTCCTGGAAAGAATTGTTTGTGGTCAGACTCATTATCTCATCTCTTTTCTCACCCCATCTTTCTTTCTCATTGGCTGCTATGGCACCTCATCTATGTCTGGTGAAACAGATAAGTGGTAGTCTTGAAGCCCACTACAGGCAGCAGTCATTTTATCAGCTCCCTGAGCACTTCTGATGCTGTGGGCAGCACGTTTCTGTTTGTGCCTCCTTTGCTGTCTGTGTGCTCCCTGAGGGAAACAGTGGTGGGCTGACCCTGGCTGGGTGCTAGGTGCC